CTTATTCATCGCTGGATTGAGCACATTAGTGAGGATGACTTTGCTTTGTTCATGATACCTGAACCATTCAAGTTCATCGATACCTGAACAATAAAAGCTTATTCATCGCTGGATTGAGCACATTAGTGAGGATGACTTTGCTTTGTTCATCGATACCTGAACCATTCAAGTTCATCGATACCTGAACAATAAAAGCTTATTCATCGCTGGATTGAGCACATTAGTGAGGATGACTTTGCTTTGTTCATTGATACCTGAACCATTCAAGTTCATCGATACCTGAACAATAAAAAGCTTATTCATCGCTGGATTGAGCACATTAGTGAGGATGACTTTGCTTTGTTCATCGATACCTGAACCATTCAAGTTCATCGATACCTGAACAATAAAAGCTTATTCATCGCTGGATTGAGCACATTAGTGAGGATGACTTTGCTTTGTTCATTGATACCTGAACCATTCAAGTTCATCGATACCTGAACAATAAAAGCTTATTCATCGCTGGATTGAGCACATTAGTGAGGATGACTTTGCTTTGTTCATCGATACCTGAACCATTCAAGTTCACATCGATACCTGAACAATAAAAGCTTATTCATCGCTGGATTGAGCACATTAGTGAGGATGACTTTGCTTTGTTCATCGATACCTGAACCATTCAAGTTCATCGATACCTGAACAATAAAAGCTTATTCATCGCTGGATTGAGCACATTAGTGAGGATGACTTTGCTTTGTTCATCGATACCTGAACCATTCAAGTTCATCGATACCTGAACAATAAAAGCTTATTCATCGCTGGATTGAGCACATTAGTGAGGATGACTTTGCTTTGTTCATCGATACCTGAACCATTCAAGTTCATCGATACCTGAACAATAAAAGCTTATTCATCGCTGGATTGAGCACATTAGTGAAGATGACTTTGCTTTGTTCATCGATACCTGAACCATTCAAGTTCATCGATACCTGAACAATAAAAGCTTATTCATCGCTGGATTGAGCACATTAGTGAGGATGACTTTGCTTTGTTCATCGATACCTGAACCATTCAAGTTCATCGATACCTGAACAATAAAAGCTTATTCATCGCTGGATTGAGCACATTAGTGAGGATGACTTTGCTTTGTTCCCTTGCGTCCTCAAGTTGCTTGATTTAACGCCTCGCTACTTCTTCCTCTGGAGACACATTATGGACCTTGCTTATGCACCACTACCAAATACGTACATTAGTAGAGTTCGGGGACGGGTAAAAGCTACACTCATGACCATGGCACAAAAAATGTTGGGAACGAGTTAAGCTACCGCTTGAACGCCTGTCATGTAACCCAGAGACACATATAGAACATTCATAGTGTGCAGAAATGTTAATGAATTGACGATTATTTTTATATTTCACTCATATTTCGACCTATGATACCTTTGAATATATAGCGTTTTGTGAATGAATGAATCTTTTGCAGTAGCCCAGTACGACAAAAGTAAAACTTCTAAATGCTTTAATATTGCTGTCTTGGATTTATGCTTAATGTCAGTATATCACGTAGTATTCACTAAAAGCATTTCTGTATTTAAGGTTGGAAGGTTATATAAAATGGAATTTTCGACGCATTTTTTAAATTCCTTCTTCTATAGAGCTCTGTACGATGAAAGCAAAATTTCGAAATGCTTTTAATATCGCCGTCTTGGATTTATACAAAATATCAGCACATAACGCAATAGTAATATTAATTAAAGCTATTTTTGTATATAATGAGGGGAGGGTCATGTTCAGGGTGTCTATAATTAAAGAACCCTATTTCAAAACCGCCTACAAACAAAATCAGTGATAAAAAAATTGTGAAATTTTGTGGCGGACTTAATGAAGCGATGAGAATTCCTTTCAGGGGAAAAAACACTAGTGTTACAAATATCGTCACCAGATGGCGTTTTACTTTGAAAAACCTGTAGTGAAAATGCAAATTTTTGTCGACGTCATGCAACAGCTGTTTTAAAACCTATGAACATTCGCAGAGATTTCGTAAGCATTTTGATAGGTCACATGCCATATTTTGTCAAGTACGTTAAATAGATATTTCAATAAAAAGCCTATTAATGACCCGATCCCCTACGACTTCTGTATTTCCCACCACTGGCTTGGGCAATTTCTTCTCTTATATACGTATAATTCCTCTTCGGAGTATTCTATTTGTTGTATCCTACGCGAAGTTTTCCCTAATCGGGTTTACCTGAGGTGCCAGTAGTAGCGAGATAGATGCTGACGCTGGCCTATTGACAAAGTAACGAAGTGATTTTGCTTTCAATGTGCAGTTGACGAGATCGCGCTTTGTTAATAAAATTGTTCTACCGAAACAATAATTCCACAATAGTTGCTCTACGGAAATTTCGAACTTTGAAGGAGATTCTATGAGATCCAATGAATGTTAAAAACCTTTGAAAAACGATAACGAAATTTGAAGAAACAGGACTATTCGGCCTGGATGAGGAAGAAAACCTGTTTCTGCAGAAGCAGTATAGGAGGTTGCGCTTCAAGTCGCAAAGGACACAGCTTCAAACGTTCAGGCCAGCACCAGTGTCAGACGTATAGCAGAAGCGCTGGACAGATCGCATTCAACTGTCCATAAGATCTTGCGGGATATCCTTAGATATTAACCTGATAAACTTTCATTATTGCAGTGGTTGCTTCCGCATGATTTTGACGCTCGACTCCGGTTCTTACTGCAATTTTGCTTGCTTTGAGATGTCGATTCAAAATGACCCTGGAATATCCTCTGGACAGGCGAAGTGAATTTCCATTTGGATGGTGTAGTGAATACGCACAACTGCCGAATTTGGGAATCAGAAAATCCGTGCCCTGTCTTAGAGTTTCCATTGCATTCACCAAAAGTGACGGTGTGGATTTTCTGCGTTATTTATTCTGATCCCATACCTTTTCGAGGAGTTAAGTTCCATAAGTCTAGTGACATGTTCAATCACCGAGCAGCGATATGCTTCGCTGTTAGAGAACGAAATTGTTCCGTCCCTGCAAGCACGTCAGTGTCTTGCACGCACAATCATTATGCAAGTTCGAGCTCCTTCATATTGCACGGTGTATTACAAATGTTCTTAAACATCATTTCACATAAGAAAGTGTCATTAGCCAGCATTTTCGTATTATGTGGCCTTCCCGATCCCCAGACCTCGATCCATGGGATTTTTGGATTTGTTGACATTTGAAACATCTGTAAGTCGAGACAATATAATAACTTTGCCTGATCCTAAAACCAGCATTTCACGCCACGTGCTGAACGTTTCTCAGCACACACTTCGGTGAACTGTGGAACAAGCCATCTTGCGATTTTCAGATGGTAGCTGAAAATGATGGCTAACTTGTGGAACATGTTTTTTTTTGGCAACAAAATTTGTAAAACTTTTAAAACTATTGTAAAGGTGTGCCTAAATGTATAATTTATTAATATATAATTCCGTCTGGTGACGCTATTTGTAACTAATTTTTTTTTCGCTGAAAGAAATTCTCATCCTTTCATTAAGTTCGCTACAAAATTTCACAATTTTCTGATCGATGGTTTCGCTTGTAAGCAGATTTGAAATACGGTGCTATAATTATAGACATCCCATAGAATGGAATTCTTTAAAACTTTTTGAATTGATTAGAAAATTCATTAAACATCCAAAGAATGTATTGTAATCGACAAATCGGAAGCAGGAATTTAGGGTTTAAATTGCTGAGCTGAAAGGCACATTATATGGTTATGACATTAATCATTACCCGAGGAACATTAATCATTACCTTAATTGGCAGATCAACTTCATTTTGCACTGATATTTGTTAACTCATTGATCATACCTTTAACTTAGAATACCATTAAAAAATCATAAAAGGAAAAACAAAATCTCAGATGGTTCAGATTTTAGCGATCGCATAAAAGAGCTCTTTTTAAGTTTACTATAGTTTATTAGTAAAGATACATTTTATAAGATATTAGATGAATATATTACATTTAGACTAACACAGCAACGTCATATATTTCTTTTTCCATACGCCCACGAGCGGCTGAGCGGTAAAGTCGCTGAACACTGGTAGTTCGGTCCGAAGTTCGAATCCCGCAAACGGGCTGGCTGCATGGGTGTTTTCGTGGTTTTCCCCATGTGTAACGTGTATACGAGCCAGTTTCCCTTTGAAAGTCCTCCACAAAGGCATCCCTCCCCTTAGATAGATATCCCTCGAGGCTTTACCGTAATTAAATAACCTAACCTAACCTCTTTTTCCATACGTTTAAGAAGTGAAAATGTGTGTAATGCCATTCTATAAAAATATTGAATATTTTTAATTACTTATATCACGAATTAAATGCACTTTTATTTAAATCAATCAGATTCAAAAGTTAAAAAAATGTTCTTAAGAACTGCATCCGTTGCTTTTAAATAGCTCAGTTTGTTCATTAGTACCAAACAGATTAAATTTGAAAGAACTTTCTTTTTTCTTACTTTTTCCAAAAGGTAACGAATAAAAATTGAAACATGTAAAATCGCGTTTCTAGACTCGGCAATAAATATTGTTTATAATAAAATGTTTTTAAAAAATAAATCGATTTTTATAGCGCCCTGAATTTTTGCTTTCCAATTTTTTTTCCTTAAATTTAGATTTAAGATCTGTGCAAGATCATATTTTCACAAGAAATTTTTTAATTTTTGACTTTAGATGACGTCCTGTAGCCTGTAACGTTAAAATAAATAAATAAATAAATAAATAAGAGCCAACTTCAGGCAACTGTAGCAACGCAGTTTTGAAATTTTATGATCCCAAAAGAAATTTTTTCTGATAGCATTTTTCGTCAATATTACGATGTTATTTATCAAAATTTAGTAAATTCTTTTATAAATAAATTATTAAGTAACGCCTATTTGCATGACTCTCTCCATTAAATATTTTATATAAATGAAAGTAAACAAATCGGAAAATTCTATGCGTATATACTAATTATATTTAAATGTACATACCTATCACCAATAACAATATTACACTTATTCGCCACATTTTTTATGCAACTTAACTTCTTCGAGAATAAGAAATTTCGGGTTGACTGAAAGTCGATACGCTTTTCAAATTTACTCAGTTTAATTAATTGCGTCTTTTCAAACCTGCTGTTTTATACACAACTGCGATTCGAATAAAAAAGAATGTCCTGTTATTAACGGAACTTGAGTTAAAGTAGAAAAGTATTTCCTCTTCACATATCGGGCGAAATTAATTTTTCTTCTGATATGCGCAAAGGAAATCCCTTTCTACGTTTTAGTACTTAATTAGTTCGAGAGGAAATAAATTGTTGAGATTAAATTGTAATAACGACTTTTCAGAATCTAAAGATTATTGCTGGCAACAAACAAATTATTATTATTATTATCATTTTATTTCCTGTGTGAGGACTTCCTTTCGTTATGAAACCCGAATGTTTTCATCTACAAAAAAGGAAGTGCAAGATATTTTCACATTTCATAAAATAATTGGTTAATTCTATTAGTAATGGTCTCACATTTGTTTTGGGACACTTAAGTTTTAAATGTTATTTGCAAATACTAGTTACTAAATATTAGCGAGATATCTTTATTCTTCTTTCACATATATAGAAGATGTTTACACATTTTTAGAACGATTTCGGACCCATTCAGTAAATGATTAAAATGCAAAAGTACTTTTTTAAATCTTCGATCTGACATCCTTTTTTCTGGACTATAAATCTGCATTGATTTCCATGAAACAGAGGCTTTTCGTAAAATTCCCAGATATACTGATTTCCATTCCTGTATCACTACTTTACAGGGTTCTTCAAGTGTTGTGGGTTAGCACTTAGAGCTCTTTTCGAAAGACCAAAGACACAAAATTTCATAAATGAAGATCAGGAGACTTTGCAGGAATATGGTGAAAAGGTATATATGCAAAGCCTGTATCAGTTTTTATTGTTACGAGAAATGCAGCGGTACTTTCCGAAAGGCAAATTTTTGCTTCCTCTTGATGAAGTTACAGTCCTTGAAAAGTTAATGGGATAAAGAATTTCTTCTGAAAATATCAAACTTAAACTTTCTCTTGATAGTACACTGAGTTGATTTTAATATCTGTTTTCCACTCTTCTTAATTTTAATTTCCCATTATAAGAGAATCCTGATACAGTGGCAGTGAGGGAATCACGTTTTTACGTCTTTTTCCATTCGGTTTCGATAGTAAATAGACTATTTTATCACTTATGTTAACTCCCGCTTCATCAAGAGTCACAATACATTTTCATTTATCTTTTGCTGCATAGTTTTCATCCAGGGTTCCATAAACTGTGCTGCGTTGAGCCACATGCCTTAGTAAAAGCTAGTGAACGTTATGTTTTCTAGCTTTTTTGAGTTAAAAATTTTGATTTATTATTTAATTTATCGTTGCTACAGATATATTTAAAGACTTTGCAATTAATTTCCGAGTCGACGGATTTAACTTTAGAAATATTAGAAATAGTACTTACCTTTTCGGGTATTCGTTTAGTGACTATTTTCAATGTAGATGTAGTGACGGTTTTTCCCTTTCCGATTAATAAAGTTGCTGAGTTCGCCCTTAGAAATTCTATTACAATGAATTTCATGAGTTTTTTAATTTTGGAATAAGGATGCACAAAAATGTTCCCTTCGGAATGCTCAAAACATATCCTTCAATCCACAGCGTGTTTATATGCGATATTTTTAAAGAAGAATAAATTTAAAGTATTTCTCATTTAAAATAATAAGCTGCTGCCAGAAGTTTGTATTATAAATATTTGCTTTCTTTTAATTCTTTATCGAACTCATTCTAAAATTATAAAAACGCCTTCTGTGTTATTTCTTAATGCAAATTATTGCTAGAAATTTAATGGTTTGATATTCATAACTGATTATATTTAAATTCATAACTGATTATATTGTGTCAAATTCATAGCATTTTTTTTTCAATAGACATTTAAATTTCCTATGTGAATTAACGATGTAAATTTTATACAAGTATGACTTACTCTCATGTTTATTTTTTTCACGTGTTTTCTAGTTATACATTTTTATTTTTTATACATCTGCATTACAGATTTTCTAGCTGGTTATTAATATAAAGGTTTTTTTGAAGGATGTTGATTTAACTACGTACAAAGTTTAATACTGAAGAATTCAGAAAGATGACTTGTAGATCAACAGCCGAAAGTGTGTGTGAAGAAGCCATCCTGGGAAAAGTAAAAAATGATCTTTGGTTAAAAATAAAATCGTCTTTCAGTAAATTATTCTTTATTTGGAACGAATACGGTACTGATGATGCATGGAAATCAAGACGTGCAAAAGCAGTAAGTTACTACGTTCAATATTTATTACAGGACATAATTAATGAGGAAAACGGTTATTCTGAGGATATAAAACATCGCATACAAGATTACAAGAATCAAATATTGGAGCTTTCAGAATTATTATGTGTACGAACAAATGACATACCAGAAGGACGTTTAATTCAAACAGAACAGCGTTTGTGTTTTGAAGTAAAAAAACTATGTAAATTAAAGGATAGAAGGATAAAAGTTTTTAAAGACCTTCGCTCTGAAGAGTCAAAATATTGCAAACGATTGGGTTTACCACCTCTGCATATTTTGACGACTTCTGGCCTTGCATCCGCAAAAAATATCAAAGAACTAGAGCAGCACATTACTACGCTGATATTAGAAAAAGATTACCGTCTTAGAAAGTACTATGCCTTTAAAAGGGAATTGACGACCATTTTAGAAACAACTGAAATATCACCTGAAACATCCCTTGAAAAGTTTATTATCTCTGGTAAAGAAGATAGTATCCTACTTTCAGATGAAAGAATGAAGGCCGTGGAAGATATTGTATGCAAAGCCCAAAATAAAAAATTTAATCTAGAAGCTAGGAAAAAAGAACTGATGGACAAACTCACCACTCTCTGGGAGAGGTTAAATGTAAATGAAAATGAAAAAGAAATGTTTCTATTACAGCACGCAGACTGTCGTGTCCAAACAATTGAATCTATTGAAAAGGAAGTGCAAAAATATGAAGAAATAAAGAAACAAAATATACAAAGCTATGTAGAGAATCTCCGCAGAGAGTTGGAAGCCTTATGGAATAAGTGCTTTGTTTCTGAAACACGAAGGCAGAAGTTTCCTTCTTTTGCCGCAACAGAATTTAATGACGAAATCTTAGAAACGCATGAGGTGGAAGTGGAGAAATGGAGTAGCTTTTATAGAGACACTGAAAATATTGTAAATAAAATTGTAAAAAAACAGAAATTGCGCGATTTAGTGATAGTTTTCGAAACCAGCAGATATAAAAACAGAGGAGGAAGTCTTTTCCAAGAAGAAAAGGAACGAAGAAGGTTGCAAAAGGATTTTACAGCATTAGAAAATGAAATATGTAATGCTATTAATGAGTATAAAGCTCAAAAAGGCAAATCGTTTTTATACTCTGGACTAGATTTTCGAAAACTGATTAGTAAGCGTTTGGAAAGCAAAACGAAAGCAAAAAATATGTATCTAAGGGGTTTTGAAATGTTTATAAAAGAAAATATGTAAATTGCAGAATAACGCATAATTTCTGATAAATTTTAATTCATAATAGTTGAGAAGAACTGAAATTTCATACGATTAATCCGGTATTTGTTTTAAAAATTTGAAACGTGTCTTTATTGTGTAAAATATTTAGCATTATCCATATAGTTTTAATTTTGTCAGAATAAATGCACCTTTTATGTGGTATTTGATCTTATAATTGCGGTTTAATTCAGAATTAAACATTATTCTCTCGTAACGGGCAAACACTGCAAATTAAATTTAAGAGATTTCAGTGAATTGAAAACAAGAAATTATTTACACAATTCTTAATTGTATTGCATTATACAATCAAGTTAAAACAGCAGTGTTTTAGTTCTGTTTCAGACAAAGAGTTTTATTGCGTAAAACGTATGCTTTGGTTACATTTGATGAAAGGCAGATAACAAATTACACATGTCAGGTCCAAAGGCATCCTCTATTAAAATAGTCTGGAGGGTTTTTTTTTTTTAAATAATTTAAGATATTACTAAATTCACGTATCCTGATATTGACTAAACTTAGAGAGACTGTATATTGGATTATCTCTGTTAGGTTTTCAAAATACGTAATAAATTTGCTTGAAGACAGAAATGTATTTGTAGAGGATTTTCTAAGAATAACTAACTGATATTGCACTACACATGGGCTAAGTCATGAAGTCATCTAGTTCAGGTTTATTTTTTATCTGAACCCTGAGCAATTATTGTTTCACAGCACTAGTTACTCACTCTCTGACGGTCCAAAAATTTTAACTATTTGGTAGTTAAACAGTTATAAATACAACACTATGCTTAACTACCTAGGAAAGACATGGCTTTATAATAAATGTTTTAAGAGAAAGTATGACATATTTGTATTACAAGTGAGGAAACTTCTATCTAGCTATGCTGTTCAGCCAATGAGAGTAGAACCTGGGATGCCCTATCAGTATTTTGTATAGTCACTTAGTTACTGGTGGTTTCAAACAATTGTGGTATGGGGCATAAACATTACATGAAATTATAGGTATTTTTATCTGTTATTATGTGCATAGCATTACAAAATGTTAGCTCACAGCTCACAGCAGAACAAACTATTATTATCTGTACCAAAGCATTGAAATTTTATTTCCAACATTTACATTTCAGAAATTGCTAATCATTCTGCAATATACTCTTACTGGCATAATAATAAGTCTAATAACTACATTAATTTAATAATTAACCTTTAGCGCTGAATTGTTACTATCACATATTGATATGTATCAAATATTTTAGCTTCGAATAACAATCCAGGGTATTAATTTGTCTCATGTACTTCACTTAAAATACAGAGGTTGTTTACGCAATTTTAGAATGATTTCGATAAACATGGCAATGTTTATCGGAAAAGCAAATGTTTTGGAATAAACATTTCTCCCAATAACTTCCTACTTGAAATGAGAAATGCCGTCTGCTATTTTTTAATTTAATCTTCTTTCAAAATGGGGTATGTAAATAAAGTATCGGTTGAAGGATATGTTTTGAGGCTCTTTTCTAGTCGTCTTAGTTTTTTGTGTCTTGAATTTTGGGATATTGTTTACATTCATTTGTATCATGCTTTTTTGGGTAACTCTCTTTTGATCTAGGTTTGTGAAACTAGTGATTGCTAATATTAATTTTTATTTTCTTAAGTAAAATATCTTTCTTGTTGATTAAATGTAAAACTCATTTTTCTACCCAAACTAAATTCTACGTCATCAGGAATAAACGTCATTAAAGCGAAAGACACACTTGTCTAATTCAGAAAGTGACATGATTCGGTGGTCCTCAGTATTTTTTCACTTGCGCTGAAAGTTCTTTGATGCTGTTTGCATTTTATTTAAAGCTATTGAAAGATCAATAAGAAAATGTATGTGCTGTTGAACTTAAATACAACTGAAATAATTCACCTTTCTAGTTTCGAGGACACTAAGCAGTTTTAATAACATCCCAGATTTTAAAAAACAAAAACAAACAAACAAACAAACAAAAACCTAGGATTTTTAAAAATTATACCATAAAATTTTATTGTTCAACCAAACATTAAGTCGGTTATTTATTTCTAGAAAAAATGATCATCACCTAGTTTATTCACATTACCCACCATCATCACCACGCATCCCTTTCACTATGCCTAGACGGTCATTTCCCTCCTCCATTCCAAAATATGAATATTCATATACGTATATTTAAATTTATATTACTTCTTAATATGTTTTATAAATTAAACAAGGAAAAGTGTGGAAAATATTAATAAATACCAATACTTGAATAAAGGTATTTTTTATATTTATAAAATAAAACTAAATACTCAACAGGTAAATAAAAGGCTGACCGAATTTATAATTATGACCAATACAAGACTATATCATTACTGCCCTGTTTTTATACGGCTTGGATTAAAAATCATCAAACGTGCGTAAAACAGTTAGAAAAAATTATACCTTGCTGGTCTTAATTCTCCGAATGTTGACCTCTAAGATTCTGCGAGCCTAAATTCTTTCTCTACAACAGCATATACTCAAATTGCATGCAACAAACTATGTAAATTTTTAAACGGCTTCAAGTTCAGAATTAATGACAAGTGCCAGAAAAGCATAAATATCGAGATGTAATCTATACATTTGCAAATTTGGACTACATATCTATCGGTTAAAAACGTAGATAGAGAAAATACTATAAGTATACTTATTTGGAGTCCTCCAAATCCAACTACGTAAGAATACATAACTAACTACTTGTTAGGTTATACAACTTTTAAAGTTTAAATATTTTGTACAATCTGTGTTAAATTATAATTCTTTTAAGAAGCAAACGAAATTCATTTTAGTGTCCAGTTTTTTTAGTGGGCAGTAAAATGTTATAATATTTAGAGAGAAGAAAAAAAACCCGAAAGACAAATTATAACACAAAACGCCTCATATTATATAAGTTAAAATTTATAACGCATTATTATAATACAAAACTCCTTATATTATCCTTATATTAATTTATAAGTTAAAATTTAACTTCTAAAATTACAGTAATATAAGGAGATTAATATAAGTATTTTTAGGTAGACACAAAGGAAGTAATCTAATAATGAGAATATCCGTAATCCAAAGCCAGTTGCAATGGGCAAAATAAGAATAATAATAGAAATAATGTATAAAAATGCGAATAAAAAATAATATCTTGGACTAAATTTCAAGGAAATTTGAGATGAGTGAATGTTGAAGTAAAAATCAAGCATAAGCTAAGAACAACCGTAACAGTTCAAGAAAAGAATGAAAAACAGCATAAATTTATAACTGTGTCTTATTGGGGGCGTCACGTCTACCATTCCGTCCGGTGAGTTTCTGACCTTGCCACTTCGCTCACAACAATAATTCAGCAAAAAAAAAAAAAAAAAAATTTAGCTTGGGAACAAACAAAAAAGTATTACTTCTGAGAACTATCGCATAAGAAAGTAATTTATCTTCCTCGTTAATACATTTTGCGTATTATTGAAAAAATGGAGCAAGCAGTCCGTTGTATTTATTAGTGGTTGTACCTTATTAGCTTTAATTTTAATAAAATATTCATTTCATAAAATTTTTTAAATTTGGGTGATATTTTATGAATATTTATATTCTAGCAAAATTAGAAAAACGATTTTTTAATGCCATGTGCTACATATTTGACAAAAAAACGTTGTCAGCCATCAAACTAGGAGTTTACTATAGCTTTTGCTATAGCATTACAAGGGTAATGATCGGATTTTAAATTAATATTACGGATAAAAACTCAATGATAGAATTTAATTTCCCTAACTGTACCTTGTAATCAATTCACAATAACGCGCATAGATTGCAACACGAATAAACCATTTAAATTTGCCTTCGTTAAGGCAACTCCGGAGCATTAATTCTTTCTCTTATATATACCTCTGAGATCTAGCCCAATTTTGTTGTGGAGTAGGAGGTTATAAATAATAGTTTTCTACTTATCATCCTACCAATTTTAATAATTGAACGCAACCTATCCGAAAGTTTCATGCAATCTTTTAAATAGTTTAGCACCTAAAGTGGTTCTCTCTTCTTCCTTCACTTCTCGTGTAAATAAGACTCAAACTTAAGGTGCATCACAACATATATATTTTGTTTACTTGTTGGAAGAAGATGAAAATTAAAAGTTTTTTGTTGTAAGCTTCTGAAACCGACAAACGTCATTTATTGTGTTGAATATAAAGTATAATTTGACAAGGTATTTGATAGATTTGTGTGCATAGTTTCTTGATACAGGGAATACAATGTTCCCTCGCCACTTCGCGCTTCATGTTTTGCGGCTTCAGTGCTTCGCGGGTTTTCCCAAAATATTCATCAAAAAATATAAATGAAAAAATACAATCAAACAAAGCGATTAGTTGACTCAGAGTACATACCACGGGCTCTTATAAAGGCGCGTGATTGGTTTCCGGTGCGACATCGACCACTGAGAGTACAAGTGGATTTATCCCTGTGAATTGATTGTCTGCGCATCATCGCAGCCTCACCTAGCATATTTCTTTTATTGTATCTCGCCAGTTTTGTCCATGATGTTGATTGTCTCGCATACTGTATTTTAGTGTTGTGTAGGCGATAACTTTTTTTTTGTTTAAGCGATAACCTTTTCATTAATTAAGCCCTTATAATGCCGCCTAAGCACTGTGCCCCTGCGAAAGCTTCCTCCTGGGACGCCCAAGGAGATGAAGATGAGACCATCAGCTAAAAAGGGAAACTTTTAGATAGATCAAATGGGGGCAGAAGTTATGCATCTGTGGCACGCCATTACGGGGTGAATGAATATGTGCGGTACATCAAGAAAAAGGAAGCAAACATCCGCAAAACTGCTCCAATAAAGAATCGAAACGTGTGGTAACTCCGCGTAATAACAGAATTTGGAAAATGTAAGCTGCACTGGCATTGTGGATTGCTGATTGCAGGAAAAAGTGAGTTTGGACACTAATATGGTCAGGACAAAGGCCAAAGCTCTCTACGACCAAATCTTGCCCGATGACGACAATGAAGAGTCTGAAGAAGGTGCTGACGAAGCTCAAGCCAGTAATAGCGCTGCCAGGAGTGATTCGCCTCCTCGAGGACGAGGATTTTCAGCCAGCAAAGGCTGGTGCGAAA